GACTTCTCGGCTGCTGTTAGCCCTAGCTGAAGGTGCCCCCAGAAGGCTTAGCTCTTGTGTTTGTCACGTACCCCAGCTCAGACTAGGGTTGTCATCTTTCATCATCCACTGAAAATGCAAATAGCTTACAAGGTCTAGGGCCCTTTATTTTTAGTTCTGGATTCCATGTGCGAGATGTACAGGTTTGTTACATAGGTAAACATGTGTGATGGTGGTTTGCTGCACCTACCAACCCATCACCTAGGTATTAAGCCCAGCATGCCTTAACTGTTTATCCTGATGTTCTGCCTTGCTCTGCTCCTCCCCAGAAAGGCGCCAGTGTGTGTTGTTCCCCTCCCTGTGTAGATGTGTGTTCAGCTCCCCCTAATAAATGAAAACATGTAATGTTTGGTTTTCTGTTCCTGTGTTAGTTTGCTGAGGATAATGGCTTACAGCTCCATCCATTGTCCCTGCAAAGGACATGATTCCATTCCTTTTATGGCTGCATAGTATTTCATGATATATATATTTATATATATATGTGTGTGTGTATGTATATATATGTGTATATGTGTATATATATTATATATATATACACACACACACACCCCAGATTCTCTTTGTCCAGTCGGTCATTGATGGGGATTTCAGTTGATTCCACGTTTTTGCTATTGTGAATTGTGCTGCAGTGAACATTCACATGCGTGTATCCTCATAACAGAATGATTTATATTCCTTTAGGTATATATTCAGTAATGGGATTGCTGGGTAAAAGGGTATTTCTGGTTCTAGGTCTTTGAGGAATTGCCACACTGTTTTCCACAATGATTGAACTAACTTACATTCCCACCAACAGTGGGCTATTAGCCCTTTGTCAGATGAGTGGATTGCAAACATTTTCTCCTATTCTGTAGGTTGCCTCTTTACTCTGATGGTACTTTCTTTTGCTGTGCCGAAGTTCTTTAGTTTAATTAGATCCCATTTGTCAATTTTGGCTTTTGTTGCCATTGGTTTTGGTGTTTTAGACCTGAAGTCCTTCCCCATGCCTATGTCCTGAATGGTATGGCCTACGTTTTCTTCTAGGATTTTTATTGTTTTAGATCTAACATTTGATTCTTTACTCCATCTTGAATTAATTTTGTGTAAGGTATAAGGAAGGAAGTGATCCAGTTTTAGTTTTCTCCATATGGCTAGCCAGTTTTCCCAGCACCATTTATTAAATAGGGAATCCTTTTCCCATTGTTTGTTTTTTATCAGGTTTGTCAGAGATCAGATGGTTGTAGATATGTGGTCTTATTTCTCATTTCTCTATTCTTTTCCATTGGTCTATGTGTCTGTTTTTGTCCAAGTACCATGCTGTTTTGGTTACTGTAGCCTTGTAGTATAGTTTCAAGTCAGGTAGCAAGATGCCTCTAGCTTTGCTCTTTTTGCTTAGGATTGTCTTGGCTATATGGGCTCTTTCAGTTCCATATGAAATTTAAAGTCATTTTTAAAAATTCTGTTAAGAGTATCAGTGGTAGTTTAATGAGAATAGCATTGAATTTATAAATTACTTTGGGCATTATGGCAATTTTCATGATGTTGATTCTTCCTATCCATGAGCGTGGAATGCTTTTCCATTTTGTATCCTCTCTGATTTCTCTGATTAGTGGTTTGTAGTTGTCCTTGAAGAAGTCCTCCACTTCCTTTATTAGCTGTATTCTTAGGTACTTTATTCTCTTTGTAGCAATTGTGAATGGGAGTTTGTTCATAATTTAGCTTTCTGCTTGTCTATTGTTGGTGTATAGGAATGGTTGTCATTTTTGCACATTGATTTTGTATCCTGAGATTTAGTTGAAGTTGCTTATCAGCTTGAGATTTTGTGCTGAGACAATGGGGTTTTCTAGATATAGCACCATGTCATCTGCAAACAGAGACAGTTTTACGTCCTCTCTTCCTATTTGAATACGCTTTCTTTCTTTCTCTTGCCTGAGAAAGAACTGGCCAGAACTTCCAATACTGTGTTTAATAGGAGTGGTTAGAGAGGGCATCCTTGTCTTGTGCTAGTTTTCAAGGGGAATGCTTCCAGCTTTTGCCTGTTCAGTATGATACTGGCTGTGAGTTTGTCATAAATGACTCATTATTTTGAGGTATGTTCCATCGATACCTGTAGTTTATTGTGAGTTTTTAACGTGAAGGAATGTTGGATTTTATTGAAAGCAGGCTCCTTTTTTTGTCCCTTCAACTCTTCCCAAAAGAGTTTTGGGAAGAATTCAAGCACAAAAATAGCCTTTATTTTTAAATTTACTACTTAGACTAACTGTAGGGGCTAGAAGATTCTGTCTCTTTCCCTGTGGTAGCCTATAGCTGAATGTTTATAAAATATGTGAACAGTTTATCCAAGAGACTTTTAATTCCTCATAACTCAGTTTCTCTTGAGACACAGTTATGGAGTCAAATCCTCATGAGGTCAGATTTTTAAGATTTTTGTCTGCATTTTCTTCCCTTTTACTTTTTTCAGTAACTTGTGACATTATATAAGTAAAACAACTAAATTTTAAAGCATCTAGAATGTGTAGGGGGAAATGGTTTATGAATTGCCATGCCGTGCTTGTGTAGTTGCCTTGTGAGTTTTTTTCTGAACCATTCCAGGTTCCTACACGTGCTGCTAAAGTAAACACCTGTGCTCTTCTGTTCATCTTCCCATTTTTTTCCTCAGTCCCATTTGCACTCTACCTTGACATTACTCTGATTCTGTGGTTTGTGACTATCCACCAGAACCCATCACCTTAACCAACTTAGAAAGTTCAGTTGCAGAAGATTTTCTTGCAAATGAAACTCTAGCTTATTGATCAGTGGTGTGGCTCCTCATGAAAAACCTTTTCAGAGACTTTACAAATTGAAAAAGCATGCAAACTTGTACTCTTGTAAAGAATGATATCCAGAAGGTTCTTCAGTTGTCTACATACAAAGGTAAATAGTTAATTTGATGTTTCAAGTATTACTCAGACTTCATATTGTCATCCTATGGACAGTTGCAACATCTTCGCTATTTTTTGTTGTAATAGATATTTTAAAATAATTTCATCCAGTTGCAGAATCCAGCCTACTTCTGAATTTCTTCCATTTAAAATAATATACATAAAACAAAGTCAAGAGATAAGTAGTAGATTGGGGAAAAATCTTCACAATATTATGACAGAGGCCTAATTTCCTTAATATCTATAGAGCTCTTCAAATGGCTAAGAATAACCCAATAGAAAAATAGCAAAGAATATAAGCATGAAAGGATGTTCACTTTCATATATCATTAAACATAAATCAAAACAAGTTGCGGTTTTCCAGCTGTCAGATTAGCTGAAATGAAAATGTTGGAAAAACCTCAGTGTTAAAGAGTAGGAAGAATAGCATGTTGTTGCAATTATGAATTATTAAAATTTTCTGAAGGGTGATTTGGCAATATTTATGAAAATGTGAAATGTACTTACACTTTGATCAAGAAATTCCACAGATATGAAAAGATATATATGTAATGATAGTCTTTGCAGCATTATTTATAATATCCTAAACTGAAAGTGACTTCTGTGTCCCTTAGGAGGATTTACAGTAGTAACATCGTTTATTGAGCCCATGGAATAACATGCAGCCACTAAAAGATGTCCTAGCTTTACAGGAAAAAAAAGGGGGGGAAAACAAAATATAAAAGACTGACTAATATCCCATTTGTATATAAAAAACAGGAGGATAAGAGGATCCTATAAATACTTGTATGTGAATAAAAGTTCTTGAAAAGAGGAAACAGATAGTTAATTATGGAAAGAGGGGGTAGAGAGATCAGAGATCCAGAGGATAGAGAGTGACAGTGGGAGAGTGAGTGGGAGAGTGAGAGAGAGAGAGACCAAGACTTTAATTATTTAAAAAATAAATAATTTTGAATTTGTCAGAATAATTTTGTATGATAAATGTGATTTAGATGTGTTGAGAGACTGATAAACAATCTGATTCATATCAATTCTCTTTTCCCAACCCACACAGTCCTCCTGTCCCCACGTTCATTTCCACCCCTAGTAGTTATGCTTTCATGAATATTAGCTGAGTGTTTTTACTTCCCTTGGGGGACTGCTTTTGAGAGAGAAAACAAGTATCGGTGAAGTGGCCAAAGGGCTGGCAATGGAGGGAAAAATAAAGACTTTGCCCAGTACTGAAAATGAAAAGCTATCTGCTAAAAATGAGCCATTCTTTGGTAATTTTAATTAACCATTTAAAATAATTCAGATAAAAGCAGTGACATTTTCCTAAAGAAGAATTTGGTTTGGACGTCCTATCTAATTATTTCAGTTGCCTATTACTCCTGTAAGGAAAATAAGGTTATTAAGCTTTTCTCAAGCTTTTTTTCTTTTAGCCCCTAGGACATTCTCATTTCTGTGTCTAGTTTGGGGGCAGATGCTTTGGATTATTGATGGAGGTCTTTTTAGAAATGGACTTTTACCTTCTTTAAATAGCCCTGGACATGCATATATCTCACCATTACCCAGGAAGTACATTTTGACACCTGGATTGAGTTATGAAATTTATCTTTTACTCCTCACTTTTTCCAGTTGCCCTGCATTTTTAATTTGCCCAATAGCATTTTACTTAGTTATTTAAAGGTTTGTTGACTCAGTTTTTAAATCAAACAACTGTTCTGCATGTTATTTTAATACTTAACATAAAATTCATGTTTTACATATTTTTCAGCTCTCCCCTCTGCCACCCTGAGGACTTCTAGTATCATAAGTTTGTCCTTCATTTTGCCTTAGAGATCCTTTCCTCGGTACTGCGTTTGGGTGCCTGAGAGAGATATTCAGAGATACCCTGTGCCCAGTGTTAGGCTTCTACAAGCTTTCATGCACAGCTGAGTAGGATGTTTTTCAACTTCATTTCTGTTTTTGTTTTGTTTTGTTTTGTTTTGTTTTGTTTTTGCAGACACCGAACTTCTCCCTCTGCAATTTTTTTTTTCCTGATCTAAACTTTCTGGGAGTGATCAAGCATTTTTCTTTCAGATGGAGACTATTTTACCTTTACAAGACATGAACCCATTGGAGTGTGTGGACAGATCATCCCAGTGAGTGTATCTCCTCGCACCTCGTATTTATTTTCATTTGACCCAGTTCTCTTAAAGACACATAAAACGTGGTCCTCAGCGATGTGTGTTTTCCATTACTGGGGGAAAAAAAAACTGAGCTCATGTTGTTGACATATCTTTAACAGCCTCCCTGCAAATGCTTATTTGAACAGGTTAATAGGGTTTCAGCTCTGTTACCAGGAGTTGAATTCTCAAGTCATGGAATTCTCATGATTAAAATAAGCAAAGCACAGTGTATTAATAACCTGCCCTTCATTATTATGTCCATTCTGCTTATGGAAAATTAATGCTTTGTTATATTTATTTTTTAGAACTGTGACTCGCCATCCTTCCAAGCATATTATTTTATATGATCTTTTAATCCCATTCTTTCCCACTGTTTCTTTTCACAAGAATCTAGATAGAAGATGCTACGGAAGACACAGCAGTACAGTTAACGTCACAGACATAATTGAAACCATGCCGAGCTGCTGTGTGTCTTGTAAAGAGAAATAGATGTAGTGCTTAGTGTTTGGATTGGAACATTAAACATTGTGCTTTTGTTCCTCTCTCTCATACACAACCTTTGTACAATACAAAACATGACCAAAGCTTCTAACAGTACTAGCTAATAGTTCTGGCAGGGATTTCAAGGGGATGCTCAGAGTTTAACTCTTATAGTATAGACAGGAAGTTTTCTGTTTCCAAAATATAGTAGTATAACTCAAAATAATCTTTGGCATTGGGAACCAAAGATGTGGGGAAGGTATAATATTTGTTTGAATAATTGATAAATCCCAGATTACTGTGAAATTTATTAGAGAATGCAAAGGTAAAATGAGAGGTTTGGGTTAAATTCTTTCGCTCCTAAAGGCCCTAGGGAAATCCCAGTTGGATCAGCTCTGGGACGAGGTCTGTCACCTTCCTTGTAGGATTCAAACTTCCCTTTCTTGCCCTTGCCCACACTCTCAACGCTGCAGCTTCACTGACAGGACAAGAGTTGCTTGTCAGCCAGCTCTGGCTCAATTACTGCACTTCAAGATTTATACACTGTAGATGGAATTAAAACATTACTGTGGACTCCCAAGTTTATAAACAACTAAGGGGAAAAGAAATTGGGTGTTTGGTGAAGGCAAGACACTTGTATATTTTTGCAAGCTTGCCAGAGCCAGTGAGAAGCCTTCAAGGATGGCAGCTGAGATGCTTCAGGCAGAAACACATTGTGGTCAAGGGCTGAAGCCAGGGGATGTGGATTTCTGTTTTCTTTCTTAATGAAATTATCAATGACACCTGATAGTACTGAGGTTCATGCCTGATCTTGTGACAATACAAGCTTAATATCCTTTTAAAATCAGTTTAAAACATTTTAGACCCCAGCCTCATCTACTCATGTAAATGTACTGTAGTCTCCAATAGCTTCTTTTACAGTGGAAAACAGACAAATGAAAATTTTTGCATACTCATAAGTATATGCACTTTATTTTTTGTAATCATGTATGTTCGTGACAATGCATGTATCTAAAGAAAAAGTGCTACCTTGAAATACACATTGACTTAACTATAACTCATAGTTAGGGTTTTCTTTTCTAGTTCTTCCATGTTGAAGAGCTTTCCATACCAGTGTGAAAATTCTGATGTAAAAATCTGAGATGCAGAAAAAAGTTTTCATACACGAGAACTTATTGGAACCAAAGCCTAATTTAAAAACACATGAAAACAACAGTGACTCCCTTTCCACCGTGGGATTTCTTTTGGTGGGTAGTTGAAATACAGTAATTGGTTGGTCAGAGAGAAAAGGAGAGATTTCCAAGGTCAGTGCTATTCTATTCTTAATGAAGTAATTGAAAATCCAAACATCTATACTTTGTAGTGGTCAAGATTTATGTTGAGGACTAGTTTGAGAAGTATGAGAAGTCACAGCTTGAAAACAAAGTAGTAGAGGAATATTTTTCCATCTATCAACTTTGAGTTTTTTCCTTTTCAGTGGAACTTCCCCCTGCTGATGTTTGCCTGGAAAATTGCTCCAGCCTTGTGCTGTGGCAATACAGTAGTTATTAAGCCAGCAGAGCAAACACCACTCAGTGCACTCTACGTGGGAGCCCTCATCAAGGAGGTAAGAGAAACGGACTTCAGGAGTGCTTCTGACTCCCCTTATAGCTGGAGCCTACTAGAGCATATCTCATTTAACATGAATGCATCAGCTTTCATCAGCCACATTTCCTCCTGTTCTGTTTTCTTAGGCTGGCTTTCCTCCTGGGGTCGTCAATATTTTGCCAGGATACGGGCCAACAGCTGGGGCAGCAATAGCTTCTCACATTGGCATAGACAAGATTGCGTTCACAGGGTCTACTGAGGTAGGTATCTGAAAAACCAGGGATTAAAGAACAGTCTTGCGAACGAGTTGAGGGGTTACAAAAACAATAAAATTAGTACCCATAGGCTAGACACCAAAAGGGCAGTGAGTACCCAAGCCCACAGAGGATAACATCGGTGTCATAGAACACTGGTAGAAGTGAAAACAAAGGCACACAGGGACCATTTGACCCCACAGATCTCTTGAGCATTTTTGTGATACCGTCTGTGTAAGAACTATCCCAGAATCTGCGGTTCCAGCCACTTTGTTGAGTCAAGAACAGCAGTGGCAGAAGCAAGTTAAGAAGCTGGAAGTCTAAACTAGGCTCTGGTAAGGATAAGAATGGAGACACAAGCTTTCCCTTCTCATTGTTTGGACAGATCCTGTAAGTACAATTGGAACTCACTATGCCCCATGAACCATAAGAGATGATATAGAGCAGGGTTCAGCACATTTTTTCCTGTATAGGGCCAGAAAGTAAATGTAGATTTTGTAGGCAATGTGGTCTCTGCTACAACTACTCAGCTATACCATAGTATCACCAAATAGTCATAGATAATACTGAGTGTGGCTATGTGCCAATTAAAGTATATTTATAGACATGGAAATTGGAATTTTTACATATTTTTTATGGATTACAAAATAGTAATCTTTTTATTAAACATGCAAAAACTGCTTTTAGCTTGTAGGCCATACCAAAACAGCAGCATTAAATTTGACCCATGGACCATAGTTTACAGATCCCTGTTACAGAGTCACAAGTCAGCTTAGGAAGATTTATAAATGTTACTCAAATGTCTTTGGTTCAGGTAACATATGATAAAGTCTTACTCATTGTTTCAAGTAGAACCTCACAGATGACATCATCATTGAACAAAGGATGTCTGCAGGTCTAGAGCAGTGCTGTCTAGTAGAATGAGAGCAACATTTGTCATTTAAAATAGGCTAGTAGCCACATTAAAAAATAAGTGAAATTAATTGGAATAACTTTAATCCAGTATTTTCAAAATATTTCAACATATAATCACTATAAGCTATTAACACAATATTTTTCATTCTCTTTTTCATGTTCTTTCTTGGAAATGTATGTGTTTTACACGTACAGCATATCTTTTCAGACTAGCCACATTTCAAGTTCTCCATTGCCATGTGTGCTACCATATTGGGCAGCACAGATCTAGAAACGTTATATCAGTTGATACAGAGTTAATTATACTTGGTTAAACTGACTCACAGTAGTAAATTTAATAAAAGATTTATTAATAAAGTTGAATATCAATTCACAAATTACTGAGTTTTGTGTTTGTCAAGAGTTAACCTTGTTTGTTTCTAAACATTGTATTCTAGTTGTACTTGTTACTGTAATTTTGCAGTTTAATGAAATATTTGAATCAAACAGTTTAAGGCTTTGAAAATATTTACTAAAGGCTAGATACTAAGAAAAACTAAAGACGCAGTCAGTTAGGAGTAAGCAAGACAACTGTAGAACACTTGGGAAAAATAGAATGAGCACCTGGAATTGCTTTGCAAATGTTTTTAAGTCCCTATTTCACTTTAAAGAAATTGAAACCAGAAATCATAAATAATAATTTAGGGGTGTGATTTAATCAGAAGAGACAGTTGGACCCATAATTAAAGAAAAGTTATTGGTTCTATATCAAAAGACTGGAGAAGGAATATATGTATTTTTGAAACCAAAATGAAATATTTAAAGTATCTTTTACTGCTTTAACCTTTTTCTGCTGGCCAACCAATGGTCCTGATTGAGTCAGTCAAGAGGCTTCTATTGGTGTAATTTTTTTTTTTTTTTTTTTTTGAGACAGAGTTTCACTCTTTTGCCCAGTCTGGAGTGAAGTGGCACAATCTCGGCTCACTGCAACCTCCGCCCACCATGTTCAAGCGATTCTACTGCCTCAGCCTCCCAAGTAGCTGGGATTATAGGCACCCACTGCCATGCCTGGCTAATTTTTGTATTTTTAGTAGAGACGGGGTTTTGTCATGTTGGCCAAGCTGGTCTCGAACTCCTGACCTCAGGTGATGGTCTCCCAAAGTGCTAGGATTACAGGTGTGAGCCACGGTGCCTGGCCTATTGTGTAATTTTTGTAAATAAAAATGACAGCATAATATATCAAACAACAGATAACACCTTGCCGTGTCAGTACCTACATCTCTGCCATTTATTTTTAATAGCTGCATAGAATATTCTTACATCAGTATATCATAATTTAATCCTGTATTTTTAATCCTGTATTAATGTACTCTTGAGGGTGTTTTTTCCACTTATTTTTCCTATTAAACCGACTACTGAAATAAAAACCGTTGGAGACCCAAGAAAAATTTTACTTGTGTGTGTGTATATATGTATTTATAAATCTTTAACTGTATACACGTATGTATGTATACACACACGTGTATAAATGTACATATTAGACACTCAGTTGGATATGGTTCTAGAAGTGGAATTGCAAAATAAAAACATATTTATAACTTGCTTACCAAGAAGGCCTTAGAGTAATGGTTTCATTTATAAGAGGTCTTTTTATGTTAGGTATGTTAATCTCTTGTTTGTTGTAGAATTTGAAAATATTGTTTGTTCTTTGCTTTTTAATTTTTTAAAAACAGTTGTTTGCCATGTGCAGATTTTAAATTTACATGTAGTCCTCTCCTTTAGTCTTTCTCTGACAGCTTCTGGATTTCCTGTCATTTTTGAGTGACAGGAAATGTAGATACTGACATGACAAGGTGTTATCTCTTGTTTGATATATTACGCTGTCATTTTTATTTACAAATCTTTAAGATTATACAAATGGCCCTAAATATTTTCTCTCAGTACTTTTATGGTTTTGTTCTTGTTTAAATCTTTAATCTGGTTGGATTTATTTTCATGTATAATGAAATGTGAGGGTTGTTTATAAATGAATGTTCAGTTACTTCAAAACACTTTATTAAACAGTCTACCCCTTTGTAACACATCTGAATATAACATAACATTACATGATACATTTCTATATGTGATATATTTCCATATATACATGTTGGCGTAAACGTAATTTGATTAAAAGTAATGGCAAAAACTGCAATGACTTTTGCACCAAACTATACAGGAAATTTCTGTTTTAGAGCTCATAAATTTTGTCTGTTCTTTCACTACTACTAGACTGCCTGAATTACTAGGTTTTATAAGATGGTTGTTACCATAATGTAGGCAAGATACCTTCTTATTTGGTTTTTCATAGCCCATTTATTCTTTTAGAAGACATTTCAAATCGATTTTCTAAGCACCTTATGTTACTCTGAAAAAACTTTCATTGGAATTTTGATTGGCATGACATTACATGTCTATATTAAAATGAGGAAAAGTGTTGTCTTTAGCATATCTTGTAGTGCAGGTCTACTAGTGATGATTTCTCTCAGCTTTTGTCTAAAATTTTGTCTTCACTTTTTAATAACTTTTTTCTGGATATAAAATTCTAATGTGACAGTTTGTGTTTTGTTTTATTTTACTTTCAAGACTTTAAAGATAACATTCTAGCATGTTTCTGACTTTACTGTTTCTGATGAGATACAGCAATCATTCTTATCTTTATTTTACTGTAAGTAATGTTTCTTTTCCCCCAGACTGGTTTTGAGTTTCTTTTTGTCAGTTTTCAGCAATTTGATTGTGATGTGCTTTTGTGTATTTTGTTGGTTCGTTAAAATTTCTGCATCTGTGCGTTTATAGTTCTCGTCAAATTGGGAAACATTTTGACCATTATTTCTTCAAATCTTTTTTTTGCTTTCTACTTTTCCCTTCCATTTACAGATACATTAGATCATTTGTCATTATCTCAAAGGTCACTGGGACTCTTTTATTCCTTTGTGCTTCCGGCTAGGTAACTTTCATTGTCATCTTTGGAGTTGATATATTCTTCTGTAATGCTTAATCTGCTTCAGAGATTTCATTTTTAAGTTCTAGAAATTCCATGATTTTTAAAATAGAAGATACTTTCTTCCTCACTACACCCCCTCATTCCTTTTTAAATTTATGTAGACATATCTGTTTTATAATCCTTGTCTGTGGCCGGGCTTGGTGGCCCACACCTGTAATCCTAGTACTCTGGGAGGCCGAGGCAGGTGGATCACCTTAGGTCAGGAGTCCGAGACCAGCCCGGCCAACATAGTGAAACCCCAGCTCTAGCCAGGCATGGTGGTGCACACCTGTAGTCTCAGTTACTCGGGAGGCTAAGGCAGGATAGGAGGCAGGTTGCAGTGAGCCGAGATCACACCACTCCACTCCAGCCTGGGCGACTGGAGTGAGACTCCATCTAATAATAATAATAATGAAATCCTTGTCTATTTTAACTTCTCTGTCATTTCTGGATTTATTTCTTTTGACTGGCGTTTTTCCTGTTTTTGGGTCATGTTTATTTTGAAAGGATACTGGACACTGTGACCATTATATTGTTGAACATACAGATTTTGTTGTTTTTCTTTAAAGAATGCCAAGCTTTTTTTTTTTTCCTAACAGGTAGTTAAGTTACTTGAGGTTCAGCTTGTCTCTTTTGGAACTTAATTTTAAACTTTGTTAAGACTAGTTTATTCTTATTAATAAGTAGAAGTCCTGCTGAGGTTTCTATTGAATGTTCCCAGTGTTCCACAAGATCTTTCTTATCTGTCTGGTCAGAACTCAGTGAGACCATCATATTCTGCATTGGTCTCCTCATCTCCTATTGCAATCTAGAAAGTTTTGGCAAAAAAGGATTTCCTTTGTTTTCCTTTTCTCTAGATTCATAGTCCCATACTGCCTGATACCCAATGGTTGAATAAAACAAGTTCATATACTTTTCTAGTTGTTTATAATGGTAAGACAAGTCCAGTGTTGGTTGCTCTGTTACAATTAGAAGCGGAAGTCTCTCTGGCACCTTTTGATTAATTTTGATACTGTTCTTTGGTTTTCTTTAGGTTTTCTGCAGATTGCCTTTACAGTTAATGAGGTTACTATTTTATTTACTTCAGTTGGTG